ATCAATCTCAACAACATCGTTAGTAGCATCATGTGGCTCATTGGATAAAAATTCTTGAGCAATAACAAGATTATCATGATTAATCTTAAGATTGGTATATTCTTATTTTAGCATATTATGGCTAGTGATGAGCTCATTATGTATCCTCTCAAGTTTATCATGTTTATCTTTAAGCTCTTTCTTAGAAGATTTGAGCTCCTTGAGTTTAGATGACATAGCATCATTTGCTTCTCTAAGCTCAACACTAGCCTTTTCGGCTATATCACGTTTGGCTAAAAGAGAATCATTCTTAGCTTCTAGCTTCTCATTCTTAGCTCTAGTCTTTTTAATGATCTTAGTATATTGATTTAGCAATTTAACAAGATCATCATAAGAAGGTGATTCATATTCATCATCATCACTATCACTATCATTATTGTTAGCATGATTATCACCACTACTATCATCATCATTTGATACCTTGCGTTCATCTTTGGCCATAAGACATAGGTGTGTAGAGGATGATGGTGGTGATATCGGTGAAGATGATGAAGAGTCAATCACAATGGCAGCCACCTTCTCATTATCACTATCATCATCGGATGAGCAATTTGATGAATCAATGTCCGTGAGCCAATCACCGATGATGTATGCCTTGCCATTCTTCTTTTTCTTGTGGAAGTCCTTCTTGCCATCCTTCTTCTTATATGGCTTGTTTTTCTTCTTCTCATCTTCTTCTTCATTACTTGAGTCATCTTTCTTGCCCTTGTACTTGTTCTTATACTTGTCTTTCTTGGGCTTTGTGCATTAGTGTGCTAGATGACTAAGTTCTCCACAATTATAGCAATCCATCTCCGAGATTAGCTTCCTTCTAGAGTTAGTGAAGAACTTTTTTTTCTTGCCATCAAACTTGATGCCACTCTTATAAGCTTTTTAGCATCTTGGCGGTTCTTCTCACCATGAGAGCAAGACTTGCATCATCAATTTCATCATCACTTGAGCTCTCATACTCAAGCCTTGCTTTGCCTTTCTCTTGGCTAGCTTTGAAAGCTAAGTCCTTGTCTTTCTTCTTAGTAGAGGATGAGCCATCTTGTGGTGTGATGTGCATGTACATCTCATGAGCAATGATCTTTCTCAAGATTTGTGTTGGTGTAGCGGTGAAAAGATCACCTTAATGAAGCACAGTCATAATATGCCCATATTTGTCAACGGGGAGGACACTCAAGATTTTTCTTACAACGTCGGATGGTTGCATTTGAGTAAGTCCAAGCCTATTGACTTCCTCTATAAGAACATTTAAGCGTGAGTACATTTCATTAGCACCCTCTTTAGAAAGCATTTCAAATGAATTTAGTTTTTCATGATAAGATGATAGCATTCCTCATGCTCGCTCTTTATTTCCTCATGGAGCGCACAAATGTCCGACCATAGTGCATGGGCGTCTTTGTGGTTCCTCATCCGATTAAACATATCTTTGCAAATGCCTCTAAAGATGGTGTTTCGAGCCTTTGCATTCTATTTTTCATAATTTACTTCATCGCCTTGAAGGTGCGTGGGATCCTGAGGTTTGGGAATCCTTGTGAGGCGGCTCTAAGTATTCCAACATCTAGAGCTTCTAAATACGCCTCCATGCGATTTTTTCAATAAGGAAAATCATCCCCCTCAAAGATAGGAGGAGGACCATCCCTGTGAGACATCTTTCTCTAGACGGTTAAGTCTAATTTCGTGAGCACGAGGCTCTGATACCAATTGAAAGAATCAAGATGCCCAAGAGAGGGAGGTGAATTGGGCTAATTCTAAATTTCTTTGCAATAATTAAACCCTACGGTTAGCCCACTTCACCCCTTGTGCCTAGAAAGTGTTTCTAATATTCTACCGCATAAAAAGTCTTGCAACCTAAGTTTCAATCCTACTTTAGCATGGCAATTCTATGAATGTAAAGACAAGAATTGAATTGCTCAAAGTAAATGCTCAAAGTAAAGAGAGAAGGAGGAATGCGGCAATGTTTTGCCGAGATATCAGAGAGTCGCCACTCCCCACTAGTCCTTGTTGGAGCACCCGCGCAAGGGTGTAGTTCCCCCTTAATCCGCGCAAGGATCAAGTGTTCTCTACAGGTTGATTCTTTGACACTCCGTCGCGGTGAATCACCCACAACCGCTCACAACTTGAGTTGGGTCATCCACAAGCTCCGCCGGATGATCACCAAGCTCCCAATCACTACCAAGCCGTCTAGGTGATGGCGATCACCAAGAGTAACAAGCACAAACTCTTACTTGACCACAACAAGCCTAATGAGAAGGGTGGATGCACACTTTGCTACACTTGCTTTAATAAATGTGGGCTCTCTTTTGGATTCTCAAATCTCAATCACCTCACTATGACCTTACTCTTCTTGGCACTCTTAAGGGTGTTTCTCAGCTGTTGGAATGAGCAAAAGTGATCCCTTGAGTGAATAGAGAAAGTATTTATAACACTTTATTCAAAACGAACCGTTATGTGCCTCTATGGGGTGACCGGACGCTCCGGTCAGTTCACCCTAAAACCTAGTGTTTAAGTTGTGACCGGACGCGTCCGGTCACGATTTTCTCTCTCTGGCAACCTTACTGGAGTCGACTAGGGACGCTGGCACCTAGCGTTCGGTCGCTCACCTCTCAGCGTCCGGTCACACCCAATGTTTTCCTAAATGGTAAACGGTCTTTACACGGTCGTCCTTCGTTTAGTGTTTAGACTGTTTACATGGTGTTTAAACAAAGTTGAACGGTCTAAACGGTTTTGTACTTTAAAAAAATACATATAATTATATATGTGCATGTAAAAAATCAAGTATTCTAGCATTTATACATATTTATCCAAGTAAAAATCAATTATTTTGGTATGTATATATATTTATGCATGTGAAAAGAACCAAATATAGATATTTATGCATATAACATATCAAGTGTACACATTTATAAATAAAATAAACTTAAGTATATAAATTTATCCATACAAAACTGAACTAGATTTACTTGATGTTCGCCTAAACGGTCGTTTAAACAGCTGTTTAGCCCGTTTAATGTTATTTATCTCTGTTCCATTTAGGCCGTTTTCCCTGTTTTTTGACCGTTTAAACGGTTAACCGTTTAATTTTCATTTACCCCCTAAACAAAATAGTTTACCACCGTTTACCGTTTACTGACCGTTTAATCCGTTTAGGCGAACACTGGTCGCACCAGACGACTTCATCTTGATCAAATGAACTGACCGGACTCCGGTCACACCGGAACCAGCGTCCGGTCAGCATTTGACCCTCCATTCACTTCCATCTCGCAATCATATATGAATGAAGTTTGCTCCAATTGATCTAAGAGCTTTTTAGGAGCTACCTAGTGCTAGATTTGACAAGTGTGCACCATACCTAACCCACTAGACTCACCTAGGTCAAGCTACCCGTCCATACTCCCTTAATAGTACGCCCAAAGGAAAAACAAAGTCTTAAACTACTCTAAGTGTCTCTTCAACACTAAACGACACTTAGAACTAGTCCATCCTTAACATTGTCGTCCATCATTTGAAAACCGAAACGATTTCCATCGTAGGGGCATGACAACCATGAATGCCCAATCAATTTCCATTACCGTGACCTAACTTAATTGCCTCTACAAAACACACGTTAGTCACAGTAATCACGTATTATCATTAATCACCGAAACCCAACAAGGAGCCTAGATGCTTTCAATTATATTTTAGTAACCGCCTCGATTAATATAAAATGACCGCCTTTGTTAATCCAGGCATTAACCGAGGCGGTTGAAATGCCTGCCCACCTTCGAGATACTTTTCCAAACACATCACAAAAGTTTTTCCTTAGTAGTGGATGAACAGCATCGAAGGCCATAGGGGGATCAAGATTGGACAACATTTAATTTGGAAGGAAATGAGACATGGATAATGACGATTAAAAAAAATCAAAATATTGCCCCTTCGTATGGGACAATTGCATTAGACTAGCATGTAGGATTGATCAAAGGCTAGGCTAGACGTACTGGAGCTAAATTCTGACTAAAATATAGTATTTAATTTTTTAAAAAACTATTCATTAAAATTAGATAATACTCTCTCCGCACCAAATTATAAGTCGTTCATGCTTTTCTCTAGATATATAGGTAAATCTACATATTAAGACAGTGCATATCTAGATAGCAAATTAAATCTATGTACATAGAAAAGCGAGAACCACTTATAATTTGGAATTGAGGGAGTAGAAAAGGTTATGTTTTAAAAATAAGAAATTACAATTACTCATAAATAAGCACATAAGAAAATAAGAATATGTATCGTCCTCAATCATTACGAGAGACAAACAAATAGGATTAAAAAAATACAACAAACTAAATAAATATGAACTTTAAATCGTAAGATAGTCAAGAAGTTAAACAATTTGTGATAACCTCGATATTAGTTGAAGCTTATTAAAGGAAAAATAAATGCTAAACTTGAATTCACAAGGAAGTGGAGATAGAGACGATAATAGATTTAAGCCAAGAAATATATTGACGACAAATATGATTCAAGCCAAATATATAATGAGAAAAACTTAGCTGGCAATGCTATTTGCGCGGGTCATCTTGCTAGTATAGTGTATTCTAGAGATTTTAGAATAAATGAAGAGAGCATGTAAAAGATGTGTCCTCACTTCATTTTCTAATCAGAGACTATCATACTCGCGATTAAAGGGGATTGGTTCAAAAATTACATGTAACAATACGATACTTGCCAAATTTCTGTGACTATTTAATGTGAAATTATTCTTTTGTCTCCTAAACTCTCTTATATTTGGATATAATTTTTAATGTTTTTGTATATCATACTAGTGATTAAAGGGGATTTGTTGAAAAATTACATGTAACAATACAATACTTGGCAAATTTCTGTGACTATTTAATGTAAAATTATTCTTTTGTCTCCTAAACTCTCTTATATTTGGATACAATTTTTAATGTTTCTGTATAACTTTGTAACAGGACAGTGGGGGTACTTGATCAAGAGGACACTGTTTGCAAGCTGAATTGCCAGAGTTTCTTGGCCAACTCAGCGTCAGAAGCTTGGGAGCTTGGTTTTGCTATGTTACAGTTGTCAAAGAACTTCCCGCTTATTCCCTTAACCTGAGGATGCATTGCCACATAGCATGTCGTTGCAGCACCCTTTATAGCGATAAAACAAAAAGCAATACAGAGCATAATTCAGTCCATGTTGCTTCGACAAACAAGCTAAGCAAATAGTAAAAAAGATGAGGTGAAATCCTACCTGATCTATGCTTCTACCGAAGATTCTGCCAAAGGAGACCATTAGAGCTGTAACAGTAGCAGAAAACAAAAGGGTTAAAGTTCCCACAAGAGCTCCTAGTACATGCATGTAAGCATGTTGATTGGATTAGAGACCCTTTTGGGATTGTTCTGAAGATTTGAGAAAATACCATGGACGATAGGCATGCTCTTGGAATTCTTGGTCACAATGACACCAGGATGAACTGCATTAGCTGAAATATTTATTCCTTCATCCTGTCCATGGAAATTGTTCCTTCGTTCTATCATTAATCTAGTTCACACATTAATCTCGTGCTACTATGCAGTAAATTTCTTACAGTGGCAGAGAACTAGGATACCTTGAGAATTCGGGACAGCTCACTGGAATGAAGAATGTTGGCAAGCTTGGACTGACAGTAAGCCATGAAGCCTTTGAAAGTGTTGGAACTGTGTACAGCCCAAACAAGAACTTGTGTTATTCACGAATCAACATTATCAAGTATAGCCAATTTCGCAGGATAATCCATGTTGTCATAACTAGAGATTACCCAGAAGGATTGCATATTTTGCTGAAACAGATTCCCCTAGGGTAGCTTAGGTGATGTGCCAAAGAAGACACGTTGACAATCCTTCCCTCGACACCGCCTTCCTTGCAGGTCCTCTTCATGTTCTCTAACAAGAGGTTTGTTAGAAGAAAATGCCCTGCCATCCAAGTCCAAATGCTACCGCATTCTTAGAGTCAGTCTGATATGATAACTCAGAAGAACAGAGCACGCTCCGGATCTTCAAACTTCCGGTAAGCAACAGATGCAACCAAAAGTAAATCAGGAAACGATTTGCATAGATAGATAAGACTAAGAGGACACACCGATGTGGTTAGTCGCAAAATGCAATTCGAGGCCGTCGTGGGAAGCCGTGGAATCCTTGGTTATCACCCCAGCGTTGTTGCTGCCGGAAAGAAGCAATAGCATCATTTCTTTTCTTCCCTTGAACGGAATCAGTGGAGCAATTTCAGTAGAAGTACCGTTCTTATCTTACATGAGAATGTTTAGGGGCAGGTTCAGAGACTCGAACTCGGCGGCGAATCTCCTCACCGACGCCATAGAGCTGAGGTCCAGCTCCAGCACGTTGACTCTCGCTCCCGGGACCTTGGCCACGATGGCCTCCTTGGCCGCGAGCCCGGCGGAAACATTGAGGACGGCCATGATGATGTGAACGCCGCGCAGCGCCATGACCCGCGCCGTCTCCAGCCCGATGCCACTGGACGCCCCTGCACCGTAGTAGTTCCACAAGCTAGCTCAGACTCAGAGACAGTCTCAACCGAAGGATCGGAGGAGTATTTTTCTGACGAGTGACTGTGTGCATGCCCATACGAGCCGTATGGAATACCTGTGATGATGGCGACCAGGCCGTGGCCATCGACGCCGGCGGTGACCTCCTCCGCGGTGGAGGCGCGGGAGAAGCCCGAGCGTCCTTCGCGGGAGAAGAACAACCCCATCAGTCAGCAGATTTGAACGGCGATACTATGACGTGTTTGATGGGGCTGGCTGAAACGGCGTTGTGGACTTGTGGTTATGGTGCAATGATTTGATTCTGACAACAAAGCATAGAGATTAGAGAAGATTTGAAAACAAAGTAAGACCTAAGCACATGCAATTGTTTTTAGAGTTGAACCTGAGCAAACGCATATTTTTAAGAGGCGCATGAGATGCAAGAATTCAGTATTGTGACCATGGCCCAGCCACCCTTATGACTCCCCACCACCCCAACCCCCTCACCGTAACCCAAAAAAACAAAACGATCCCTGGTAACGTGATGTTAGGCAATCATTTCTACCCTCCGTTCCAAATTATAAGCCACTTTAATTTTTTTAGTACATCCATTTTGTTATGCATCTAGATATAATTTTATGTTTAGATACGTAGCAAAATGAATACGTAGCAAAATGATAAACTAAAAAAGTCAAAGCGACTTATAATTTGGAACGGAGAGAGTACCATACACACAACATTTGAAGTTCATCCCTTGATGGATTTTTTCTACGAACAAAGTATATAACTACTACTACGAAGGGTCCAAGAATTTTTTGGATCAAAGTATTTTTCTCACCTGGCACGTGGTTGAAGTCTTTTTCTCCAAAAGAATGAGATATTTGTCTTTTTTTTTAATTTATAATGGCAGAGGTAGGTAATTTTATAGATAACAAATAGATCCAATGGACATAAATGGCCGATGTTTCTAATTAGCATGAGAACTTTTAGTATTTATTTTTTCTTTTAGCGCATCTAGAGAAAATTAATGTGAAGTCTCCGTTAAAAGATACCATACCAACATACGAAATGGACCCCTTATTAAAAGATACTTTTAAAAAGGCATGTTTTAATTTATGCTTCCGTATTTTAACTATTGCTAATCAGAGGCTTCTTTAGAAAACATCTAATTATCCGAAGATACAATAGCCATTGGACCCAAACAATTCCCGTAACTGGCACTAGTATGGCAAATGATGTGCCACCTGACTCAGCGCAGGCTGCACGGCCGCTACTGTCACCTCGAATCCAACTGTAAATCCAGCGTGGCGATTGGAGGGATCAATTAAGGCCTGCCATCATGGTGGCACCGGCGACGGTGGGGAGTGGGGGGTTTCTCGGGTCACAGACCTGCTTCTGGTTTAGTCAGCCTTAAGGCATGTGATGTGTAGATTCCAAGCCCCGCCTAGACAAGCTCGCCCCAGCCCCGCCGCACCCGGCCATGGCGGCTCCCCGCCACGCCCGTCCGACATTTTTGTCTTTCTTGTATTTTGTCCCTATTTTTTTATAATTGCATATAAATCCAGATTTATATAATGAAGCTGTCCAAACAAGTTCATTAGAGCTGAGATCTACAGTAAAACTGCTCCATGGTGGAGCTAGTGCTCTCCCAAATAGGCTCGTAACAACTCTGTGAAGTGGTGTAATGTAGGCAAAAATGGTAACTTTCACAAGAAAAAGCCATATAAGCATGTCTTTGGGATTTTAGATCTATTAATTTCAAACGTTTTCTTTGAGATTTGTGGGGTAAAAATGCAATAACCATGTGACAGTTTGGTGATGTGGATTTCAAATTTGATGTGGTGGTAGTACATACACCGAAATATACGTAAAGTGAAGCAAAATGAGGGCTTACTAGAAACTCAAAAGTCTCAAAATGTAGGAACATGGAAAACGTACAGGTGGATACAACATAGGAAAAACACATGAATTCAAAGAGAAAGAAGCACAAAGGAAAGTTTCCATGAGGTCTAACCACATGTTAGTTTCCCTCCAAAATTTATATAGAATATATGAATTTATGCATCCCATAGGAATCCAAAGGAATCTCATAGGCAGCAATCCTTCGTTCCAAAAGGGCATACATTTTCCTAAAGGGTTGGAATCCTCCAAAAAATCATATGGTTTTCCATTTGTTCCGAAGGGAGCCTAACCATTAGCACAACAATCTGTGCATCACTAATTCAGACAAGCACTTGATCAAGAAGACACAATCTTCAAGCTGAATTGCCATAGCTTCTTGGCCAACTCAGCATCTTCTTGGGCTGGCTATATCACAATTGGTGAAGTACTTTCCACTTATGCCCTTCACTTGAGGATGCATTGCAACATAGCATGTCGTTGCAGCACCCTTCAAAATAGATAAAACAAAGTTGGTTAGGATCAGTGCATGTTCCACCAACACACCAGCAGTAAAATAAGAGGTGAAAGCCTACCTGCTCCACTGTTCTACATACGATTCTTCCAATGGAGTTCAATAGAGCTGCAAGGGTAGGGGGAACAGTTACCAATGATATTTTAACTTGAGCTCCATGTAATTGTTTTTCAGAAGCTAGAAACCCTTTCCCATTCTGCTACTCATATGATAAATAAAATTGATTGCAAGACTTGAGAAAATACCAGAGACGATAGTCCTGTTCCTAAAAAGGTTAGTCGTGATGACACCAGGATGAACTGCATTGGCTGAAATATTCACTCCTTCCTCCTGTTCAGGAAGACAACTTCTTCCTTTATTGTGCAGTTCATGTTTTCATATGCAACAACAGCCATTCAGTAACAAAGATCTGAGATACCTTGAGTATTCGGGACAGTTCAATAGAATGAAGAATATTGGCAAGCTTGGATTGACCGTAAGCAACAAAGTCGTTCAAACTGTGTAAGGTCAAAAACAACAAACTTGTTGGTATCGTTTATGAGAAGAATAATTAATTATTTCAATAGAGTTCAGATTGATCTCAGAATGGATTACCCTGAAGGATCATGAATTTTATCAAAACAGATCTCTTCACGATAGGTTATGGTATGCCCGGAAGATGCCAGATTGACAATCCGTCCCTCGATGCAGCTGTCCCTACATGTCTTCTTCATATTCTCCAATAACAGGTTTGTTAGAAGAAAATGACCTGCCATATATCGAGTTAAACGCTACTACATTCTCAGGAATTATCCTCACAGGTCATAATTCAGAGGAACAAGGGATACTCTTCTACAGAGTACAGACTATAAAGGTAAAAAGCCGCACAAAGAAAGTTCGAATTCCAACAATGTGCCCAACAAATGTCAAAAGCTGCAGCCTGCAGTGAGATAAGAGGACACACCAATGTGATTTGTCGCGAAATGCAGTTCCAGACCGTCGCAGGAACGTGTGCAGTTCCTTGTCATCACTCCAGCGTTGTTGCTGCCGAAAAGAACATCAAGTCAACCGACCAAACACATTACGCATCCTGGTACTATGATTTCAGGCTAGCTTTTGACAGTTTGTGATAGCACTGGCATGAAGTACAGAAGTAGGACTTGTTCGTGCTTACATGAGAATGTTGAGGGGCAAGTTCAGAGAGCCGAACTCGGAGGCGAATCTCCTTAGACTGTCTCCAATAAGGAGACCTAGATCCAAAATGCGTCACTCACAGTGCCTTTGCCTACCAAAAACACCGTCCAACGGAGGACCCAAACCCACGACGCATTTTAGCTATCAGTTGAAACGCTACGCAAAAAAGCATCCCCTCTCTCCTCGCCATGCAAATCGCCGCCGCTGCCAAGGTCGAGGAGGAAAGGAGGAAGCGGAGGAGGAAGGAAGGAGCCCCTCTGCCACCGCCCGGCACTTGCACGGGCACTGGCCGGCGCCACCGCAGCCACAGCAGGCGGCCCTGCCGAGCCCCACGCGGCTTGCGCGAGGGCGCGCCCCGCTGGCCCGCTGCTCCGAATTCCACCATTACCGCCGAGCGCAAGGAAGAGGAAGAGCCCCGCAACCGGTGCCCCTGGCTGACGGCTGCCGCCTCCACGCGTGTCCCAGGGCGCAACCCCTTGCAGATCCGACGCCGAACTGGGCCGGAGCCGCCGCCGCCGCCATGGGTGTCGCCTAGCGCCCGCCCAGGCGCGGCCCACCCGAGCGCCACGCGGATCCAGCCCTGGGACCGCTGGATCCGGACGCCGGGGCAGGGAGGCCGCCCCGGTCCACCGCAGCCGGCGGCAGCGGTGCACAACGGCCTTGCCTTGCGCGAGCCCATCCCCGACCGCCGCATCTACCACCGAGAAGGAGAGCCCCACTGCCGCCCTCCCAGCAAGCCGCGCGGCCGTGCCGACGGCCTGCTCCTGCTGCGGCGCGACGGAGGAGGGGAGAGAAGGATGCGGCGGCCGAGTGCAGACTCCCGTGGTCGCTGTTGGAGAGGGCGAGTTTACGGGTGCGTGACCCTTTCCTGTGGGAGACCCAAAAGCTAGAATAGGTGCCGTATTTAGGTCTCCCTCGTTGGAGATAGCCTTACGGAAGCTATGGAGCTGAGGTCCAGCTCCAGAACGTTAATCCTTGCGCGCGGGGATCTTGGCCATGATGGCCTCCCTGGCCTCGAGCCCAGCGGAGACGTTGCGTACGGCCATGACGACATGCACGCCGCGCAACGCCTCAGCCGTCGAGGCGCCGGAGAAGCAAAACGAGATCGTCTGAAGTTGGTCTCCGCGGCTGCTCCCGGCAGTCACTCCATAGCAACCGTCCGCTGCCATCCAACGGAGCAGCTGAGTCCAAGCACTCTGCCTCGTTCGCAAGTTGGGGTGGCCCAATAACACAGCCTGTTAAGCCTAAAAAGCAACGAGCAGCCCGTAGCCCCTACCGAAAGCTCTCCATGGATAGGAAAATCGCCGCCGCCGTCTTTTGCTCGTGGGCCGCGCCGTCGCCATCCCATCGTGGAGAACCGCGCCATCGCCATCCCCTCTCCCAGAGCCGCACCGTCGCCAACCCTTCTCCCAGAGCCACGCCATCGCCATCCCCTTGCCTAGAGCCACGCCGTCGCCATCCCTTCGCTACGGGCCGCATCATCGCCGTTCCTAGGCCGAGCGTCTCCCCGTCGCTGTCCCTTGCCGAGCGCCGTCGTCGTCCTGGACGCTGCCGGCCTACTGTAACACCCCGGGTGTTTTAAATACTAAAACTTGCCATGACATCATATGCATTGCAAAGCATCTGGACATATTGAAAACT